TCACATACACACACACACACACACAATGGCTTCTTTCCTCTTGAGTTTGCACAATCTGACATTCCAGAAACGAATACTCATCACATACACACACACACACACACAATGGCTTCTTTCCTCTTGAGTTTGCACAATCTGACATTCCAGAAACGAATACTCATCACATACACACACACACACACACAATGACTTCTTTCCTCTCGAGTTTGCACAATCTGCCAAAGAGAGTTGCAAGCCACCAGCCTTGTGAAAATTCCTACCTTACCTAAGGTGAATTTGCACCACTGCATGATTATGTCACCATACAGCAGAACCCTCCACTAATACAGGTATGACACACCCCCATGTACAATGACTCCCTCTATAATTGCTTTAATTTATTCTCATTCTTTACCTTGGCATTGTAGTGCAATGATGTGTTTGGAATTTGCCGAGATTTGTGACTTTTTCAGTCTTCACTTTTATGAGTTTATTATGCTCAATATGACTTCTCAATTTAATGTGAATACTTCTAATGCTGAAGTGAGTGAAAAATCCCCTCACACAGAACAAATTATCACCATTTCTGCTGGAAGTCTTTATCTGTGGAAGATGTGACAGCCATCTTCCGTCATGTAGTGAGGTCCATTATGCAACTGGAACCCTCTCTCTGCTCCCATCCCTTCCACTAACTTTCCATCCCCTTATTTTGAGCCAGAAACTGAAGAGGATGAATTCAAGCACCATTTTCCACGTCCATGGTTTACATTAGAAACTATTCTACCTAATGAATAACTCAGACTTACTCTGACTTTCTTCACCTTATTTCTCAGACTTACTCTGACTTTCTTCACCTTATTTCTCAGACTTACTCTGACTTTCTTCACCTTATTTCTCAGACTTACTCTGACTTTCTTCACCTTATTTCTCAGACTCACTCTGACTTTCTTCATCTTATTTCTCAGGTATGTAAAATTATTTCTCTTACTCCATTGTCTTTTGACTCTTCCTGTTTGCTTTTACATAAACCTTCTCATCTTTGTATTTCTTCCCTCCATTGTTATTTCCATACATGCCACTTCCTTGCAGGTTCAACTTTGCTCCCATGATTTTATGCCTCATACTCCACACTAACTGACTCCTATGTTCTTCCTTTTTGTCATTCAAATTTCCTGTTCCTTAACTCTCAATCTTCGTAGTTACTTTTGCCAATTTTGAGATTGGATTTCTTATCAGCTGTTTCTCTTTCTACTGCTCACCTTTCCCATCTTCGTAACTTTTTTACAACCCTTCCTCAGTACCTATTCTTCCTTCACCTCATGGCCCATTCCAACCCTCTGCCATTTCTCTTTTTATCTGGTTCCTCTGTTGTTAGAAACTGTTGTGAAGGGTTACCCTCCTATCTCTAGTCTGTCTCCCTTCCACCTGTTTCTGAGACCTTCATTTTCCCCCCTTTTCTTTGTGTAGAGGCTTTGGGTGGTATCCCTGATTCCCTGATATCATGAACTTTAGCTGCCTACCATCAATCTTTCCTCACATTTTTGTTTTTCCTGGCTGTCCCAACCTTGACCCACCAGTTCTGTAACTCATCCTAGCTCTTCTCCCACTCCCGGTCCTATTCCTGTGTCCCATACAATCTCCACTTCTTGTTCCACTCCCATACAACGTGTTACTCACCAGCCTAATCACTGGTGATCATACAGTCAATCCAGGACTTGAGAGAGTTCCGTCTGTAACATTTGCAGAAGTATGTCTCAGCCAACAGATAGGTCTTTCATGTGCTTTCACATGTTCTTTGGCCCCAACCAGTCTGATCCTGCATACCTTCGATGTCTCAAGGGGGCAATGTCAGAATTATTGGAGAAATAATCCATCTGGATTTTAACTCCTGCTTTTGTTTTGTGCCCCAAAAGATTGGGAAATGATATTTGATTATCAACCTCTCTTACCTCTATCATTTCTTGGTTAAGGATATTTAAATGATTGATGACCTTCAGATATTTTGTAGTGTGATAGGCATGCATGTGGAAAAAACAAGAGTTAAAGGCAATTGTTTTGAGGAAAAGAGTCCAACTTAAGTTCCTAAGTTGGAAAACGTGCACATATTTGAAACTGCATTGCAATAAATCAAAAAGATATGTTCACATACTCTTCCACTACCTTTGTTTTTTGCAGATTTGGAAATACAAATTTATAATATTCTTCTAAGTAAAAGTTCTATAGTTTAAAAAAACAATAATCAAGTAGCAATGTGTCTGTAAGTGATCGATGTATTCACAGCTAGCTTCGTCAAAAGCTCCATATGGATATGCATCTTCCATGATATTTCTAAATCATTGTTTTGAATACTACTGTTGAAAAACTCTTACTTTTAAGTGATGTGATAGGATATGCTTCTTGTATATTTTGTGATAGCATTATTATACTAAGTGTGCAATAATAAACTCAACAATAAAGGAAAACAAAACATGATCACTGAATCAGTCTGAAATGTTCAATATTCTTGAGTGATCATATAAAAACAACTCGCATAAAAAAATCATAGTGATCCTCTCAATAAAAATATTAAGGGCACTGATATTGTTATATTTCAATTGAGGGGATCACTATGACCCATGTACTTTATATGTATTATAGGTACACATACCGAATTCTGTTTTAGATTCATTTTTTTTCTTATCCTTACACATTTTGAATGGGATTTAGAATTCTTTCTGAAACTTTTTTTGGCACAAATATGCACATTAAAAATTAAAGTACATTACTTACTATCAAAATTAAGATTAATTGTAGCATTGCTTTCCCCAAGATCATTTTTTGCTGTAACCTTGTATTTTCCTGCATCCTCCACTGATACATCATCTATCTCCAATGCAGAATTATATGAATTCTTGTCTTTTACAACTCTGACCTGCAATAAGAACAGAAACAAACAAAGTTTCATGTTACTCAATTTGTGGATAATATTTCTAGACATAAGACATTTGATATTAACTAATTTGTGAACAGTACGTTTACACTTGTTGTTGTTAATGATCTTAAAATAAGTGCTAATTAGTAATGCTACTGATTATACACCACACAAATAGTATTTAATGCAGAAATTACAACAAAACTATTGAAAATATAAACATACACATATATTCATTTTTCTAATGAATTAGCAGACATAATTTTTCATAAAGAACATAAATAATATAATTAAAAATATGTGCGGGCAACATCAATCTGCACATTTTTTCTATTGGTCCAAAAAGGAAAGTCAACAGTTCTGTAATTTTAGGTTTTACATTAATTTCTGCACTTTCATTAATATTTTTTCCATAAAACACAACAACCAATGACATCTGATTATACAATACAGTAAAATACATCACTGTTGAACTAAAACTTTTCTATTCTTTTTGTGTGCAAACTGTTGGTGTTAGACCTGTGTGGGGATATATATATATATGCATAACTGTGATTTTAAGTAATAACAATACCTTTCATAGTCTCTAGGCTGTTAGTGTTAGACCCGTGTGAGGATATATATATATATATGCATAACTGTGATTTTAAGTAATAACAATACCTTTCATAGTCTCTAGGCTAATTCAAAAACAATTTTGTTAGAATATATGAAATTTTAATGTCTGAAAAAACGTTTAGGGAATTAAATCATCACGTGTGAAAATAACCTTATTTCTTCACACTGTACCTGTTCTACATTACAGTATCGAGTTTAAGTTTAAGTAATTATAACCTTATTTCTTCACACTGTACCTGTTCTACATTACAGTATCGAGTTTAAGTTTAAGTAATTATAACCTTATTCCTTCACACTGTGCCTGTCCTACATTACAGTATTGAGTTTAAGTTTAAGTAATTATAACCTTATTTCTTCACACTGTGCCTGTCCTACATTACAGTATTGAGTTTAAGTTTAAGTAATTATAACCTTATTCCTTCACACGGTGCCTGTCCTACATTAC